GCTAGTAACCCTTTCTCCTGTATAACTTGCTAAATGTAAAATGAAGAAAAATTTGTTTCTTCATTTTTGGGTTACCCTGCCTTGGTGGGAGACAGTTAGTGTTAAAAAAAAATCTATAAATTCTTTGTGATTACCTATTAATAAGATATAATAGCCAGAAAGGATGAGATACTGGCCACTTTACTATGTATCTCTAATGCTGGCTATGGTGATGTAAGATTTTTTTTTTTTTAATGCCAACAGCCTGACTGATCAGACTGTGCCCAGCTAGCAAACAGAAGATTGAGCCTCCACCAGTCCTTGTGCTGAATTGCCCACAAGGGTCTAGCACTTCAAGAACTTAATACAATTATGATCTTTTTAAGCATTAAAAATGCTTTAACATTAATAAAACTTTAGTAATTTTTTTAAAGTCTAAATAAAACTTTCAGAATTGTAGGTTAAGATTCCACTAATGTATGCCTAAAACCTAAGAGCTTAAAATTCATTTTCTGTCAACTAGATTAAATTGTACATTATATGAGAATGTAAGAAAAAATTAAAAACTCAATAACTGATCAACAAAGAAGAGCAATACTGAACTAAGTTTAGAAAGTTAATGTGCAAAAGAGATCAATTGGAAACTGTTAAAAGACAAAAACACTTTTGTTCCTATGTTTATGTTTTTTAGTTGAAGGCATTCTTTATAATTTTCAAACCATGCTACCACAGAACAATGGTGTTCAACAGCTGAAACCAAGTACAGTATGTAGCTTTGTTAACACACCGACCATCTCCCACCAATGAAGGTGGCACTAAAAAAGGAAACACAGTCATTCGTTAGCCATCTTCTAAGCACGCAGAAGTCACAATTCAAATTACCTTCCGAACTGCAACATCCCTGCTCTTCCTCTAGATCACAGGCACTGTACTTCTCACCTCCAAATCTCAAGTCCAGTTTATCAGTTTCCCTGAATCCCTTCATAAACATTACCTTGCTCAAATCCCAACAGCATGTCAGCCATAAAAATCACTCATCTCTATTCACCCCAATTTAACACATTCACACAGGTCTACCAGATGCTCAAGCCCTTAGCACTCAAGAGAAGGAATATAAGAAAAATTTTGTAAGATTTACCCCTCATTTTTACATATTCACGAGTCAGAAAGAATACACCAACAATACAATCAGTTCAAAATGCTTAACAAGCTTCATTTTCATACTCAAATAGCAGGACTGTAGTACTTCCCTAAATAACTGCTGCCTACCAACCTACTCTCAAGTGTCTTTGCACATCTCATTAGGATCCTCCATTAATTATCTTTTGCTCCTGAGCAGTTACTTACAAATGACATCAGTATTATTATATAATGAGATGCACAGACTATATCTATAAAATAATAGCACATTTGCTGTTAGTAATATTGTTCATAGATTGTGTGATGACAAAAAATATCAAACTTTCATGGTGTTCCACAGAGAGCACCATGACTTCCAGGTGCTCAGGAACCTGAAAAGTTTGAGAACCATGGCTTTAGAGGATTAAAATGAATCAAGTTTTATTTAGATTTTAACAGGTTTTGAAATGCACAAGTGTATGTCCAAAATCTACACAAGAAGTCTGATGTGCATATTTCCAGCAAATTACAATGCTTTTACTACCGATTACAATAGAATACTTAAACCACTGGGCCATGCAAAGTTCTTTATTATGTGCAGCAAACTGGAAGCAACTGACGAAACTTTGTTAATAGGAGCGCAAAAAAAAAAAGCCACCAATAAAGGATCAATATATAATTCGTTTGTAAACAAAATTTCAAAGCTCTTAACACAAAATAACATATGATCAGATCATATTAACTAATCCAATTCCAGAAAAGGCACTTTTAAAAGAAAAAAGGCTAATTAACACCATAAACTCAAGTGTTCTATATAATCAAATAGTTCCTATATTGTAGGCATGTGTGCACTAAAATAAACCAGGGGAGGTAAGGAAGGCCTTACCCTTCCTCACAACAACTGTCAAAAATCAAATACTTCCGCTACTTTGAGCCCTAGTATGAGCTATTTCTGGTCCTGAAACCAACCAAAATTATCTCTTATTTAAGTAGTATTTCTTCCATTCTTTCAAATGATACCAAGAAACAGCCAATAAAACCATCCTAAAAAACACCAGTCACTATTTTAAACCAAATACAAAAGATCAGAAGTTTGCTTTTCCCATCATGCACCAAGTTTGGCAGGATTTTTCTTGTACACTGTGCACATTCACCATACACCCATTCTCTCATGTCTAGGCCAAAGTTTACTGCTCACAGCACATTTGAGGGTGCTGTGTTCAAAACATACATCTACCTGAGCAACACTGGTGTCAGTACTGTTGATCTACAGTAAGACAATGTGAGGGTTAATCAGATAATGCACTCACACTTTCCTCTATGCAATAAACCTACCCTTGTGGATTTAGCACTTAGTTTTGATTGTAATAACAATATGAAGTAAACCCTCTATTTAATAAACTTTGGAAATACAGAACAAAACCAGCGGGGTCAACAGACTTGGAAATAATGGACAAAGTCCTTTGGTCACAGAATTGTTCATTATTGTTATAGAAAAACCTGGCGAGTCGATAGATTTGGAAACAATGGACAAAGTCCTTTGGTCCCAAAGGACCAAAACAATGTTTTTTCTATTCACTATAATTGCCATTACTGACCACCAGCTCCTCCAAATTAGTCCATTACGTGTGTTTACAGTACAATTTTCTGTTACAATACGGCCACTCTTCACTTAACGACGGGGTTCCGTTTCTAAGAGTAGGTCAGTAAATGAACTGGTCATTAAGCAAGGAGCATATTTACTAGTACTAGGTTTGTGTCAACCATCTTCAGACATTTTTTTAATGTTGCATTTGCACCATTTACAACATTTTTAGTATAAATTTAAATGTTTAAACAGTAGTGTACTGTATATTGTAATAAACAGAACAGAGGAAATCAGTTTAGGTTTACATACTGGTTGGAGAGTTGGTTGTAAGTCTGAGCGGTCGGTAAACGAGTGCATTGCTAAGTGAGGAAAGGCTGTAGTTACAACAAAGAATTTTGTTACACCTCAATTCCATTTTCTCTTGCAAGTTGATGCAGAAGTGTTAGAGAGATGTTTATGCAGCTCAGTTAACAGTGGAGTGCTGTGGGTCCTGATGAATTGACACCATAATGTTTCACTACAATTTTATCCTTTATACTATAGTGACAAGGAAGTATTTTATCATACTTTACATTCCATTTTATTGATGAAATATCTGGAGGTGTTGTATGACAAGTGAGCAGTATGTAGACTGGTTTGTCTTGTTTATCAGCTGACAGACAACTGATCACACACACACACACATGACACGAGCACCACACACACACACACACACCCACACACACACACACACACACACACACACACACACACACACACACACACACACACTTGATCAGCTGATGCAAAACCCACACACACTTGATCAGCTGATGCAACACCCACACACACTTGATCAGCTGATGCAACACCCACACACACTTGATCAGCTGATGCAACACCCACACACACTTGATCAGCTGATGCAACACACACATTCCATTGATGAAACCACCACACATCACTACAAAAATCCCATCACACAAACATGAAGTGATGCAACACGGCCCCACCGAGCAGGTGACAAAACAACAAGATAGAAATCACCAAAAAAAAATTTTCTCATCATAACACTTTCACCACACTCACACAAGTGTTTTATTATATCTTTAATTCCCTCTTCTTACCTCTAGCTTTCCCCAACCATGGAGGAGAATTTTCCAAGTAGGAACCAACCCAAATTAAAATAATTCCAACTTTAGCTGGGTTAAACAGAGGCTGGAGCCATGTACAAATAATTTTGCGATATAAATATGAACAGCATTCTAATAAAAACATGCTATATAGAATCACATTATGAAAGGCCTGTCTGTACTACATTTTTTAAGTACATAGCATCAGTCAGTATATATTGACATTGAAGTAAAAAAAGAAATCTGAACTGTGATGTCAGCATACTTGTGAGAAGAGACTGAATGAATAACAGTGAATACATTTTTTTTTTTTTTTTTGGCAGCCTATCTGTGGGAGACAGCCAGTGTTAAAATATATTAATCCATGAATGTTTACAAAATCTGAAGTGGATGTCTGTACGAGGCACTGTGGACAGCGATGACAAACGTGACATTGTTGTGGTAAAACATGCTTTAAAACAATGTAAACAAAAACAACTTGTAGTAATAATGATAAAATTATCAACAAAACATTAGGTAAATGGACACACATGCAACTAATGTGACACTTTACTGTGGCAATATTTCACTCAACAAGCACTTTGCCAAGCCACAATAAAATGTCACCTAAGTTGCACCTGTGTCTATTTACCTAACTAAAAACTTGTATATACTGTACTATACATTGTTCTAACATGCATAGTGTTTTATGGCTTTTATCTTAAGTTCAGCTGTTCTTCGTTTTAGTATCGGCAGTGCTTCATATACTGTACATTCTTCTATTTTACTTTCAGAAATGTAAACCCAAATGAGCAACTTTTTTAGACAATTTCCATTATGAATTATCCAACCCTAGAGAATGTGTGCAGCAAGCTGAGTGTAGATCCACCATTTCACTGTTGCAATATCATACATGCAAAGATCCCTGACATCACAAAAATGAAGTTCCAGAGACAGCCATCAATGGATTACATCCCCCAATTTTAACACAAAGCTCCACGTCATGACCAAACATAAACTAATCCAAAGAAGTGTTCAAGATATTAAATAGCAAAATGCAGAAGGAAGGTAGGTTAGAAAAATAAGTAAACCCCTAAAGTATATATACTCCTGCCAAGAGATAACAACATTGTAATAATAATAATAACAATAATAATAATAATAATAATAAAATAAATAAATAATAAACGTTCCCAAAATGGCTTGTCAAGTACAGTACTGACCTGTGGCATGTTTGAGGGGCGTCCAACCTTGATATTACGACCACCTATCATAACACCGTTCATCTGCTCCAGTGCCAACTGAGCTGCTTCAGGCATCTCATATTCAACAAAAGCAAATCTGCAAAAAATATTATCTATTAACAAAACAGCAAACTGAATTATTAATCAGGGAGAAACGAATGTCAGGTCAAGTTTTGAACTGGAAAAATACTAAAATCCAAAGCTTAATATGGCATGCTTAAAATGGCAATATATAAAACCTCTAGACTTTATAAGTGTCAAAAGACTATTGAAGGAATCTTGATTTGCTATTTTAAGTGTAAGGAAACTGCTAATTTAATGCAATGAAAAATGAAGAATGAAAATGAGCAAATGTGAGTAAAATGCATGAAAAGATAGAAAGGCACAAATAATAAAGTGTGGAAAAAGGAACACTGAACAATATTCCAGACACAAGAGCATAAGGTATTTGAAGTGTCACCACCGACTCTTTCTTTCCCTCTTGTTCTAAATATTCTGAATGTCCAACCGTAATTTTTCTGGTCTTGTGGCATTTGCCTCTTAGTATTCTGTATGACAGGTTATCTGCCATTATTGGATCTTTTTTTTTTTTTTTTTGCCTATATGGATAAACCTCTTTCTTCTTTCTTTCCAAATGCCTCAGTGCACAACAGTTCTTATATAGTTCATTTTGTCTTTCACAGAAACATTTGCTGACATGTTTATTCTCCAATATCTAAATGCATCGAATGCCTCCATACTCACTCCCTCCCTCCTATCTAATATTCAATTTATCATTGCCTAAACTTTTCATTATCCATCACCACCCTGATCTCTTCTTTGCTCATTTTTAATTTCTTACTTTTACACACCATCGCAGATTAGTTTATCAACCTTTGTAACTTGGCTTCACAATCTCCAAAGAGAAGTGTCAGTGTCATCGTCATTTAACCCTTAACCCTTTCAGGGTCGACAGGCCCTCTCCGAGACTTCTTCTCAGGGTCGGCCAAATTTCAAAAAAAAAAAAAAAAATTATTATTTTTTCTTGTGAAAAGATAGAGAATTTTTTCCCAATCATAATGACACCAAAATTTTGAAATTTGATGGAAAACTTATGGAATTATGCTCTCGCGAAGTTAGCGGTCTCGACGATGTTTACTCATCAGTGATTTTGCCCACTTTGAGCCTTATTTTCAGCCAATTTGCATACACTTGTCAACAAAAATCATAACTATTTTGCTAGAACTCCATTTTTTCTATCGAATGAGTACAAGAAACCACTCATTTATTGATTTCAACTATCCAATACAGTGATCAGAATTCAGCAATTTTGCCAATTTCACACAAATTTCAAAAGATGCCAATTTCCGAATAGGGTCCAGAATAAACAAGAAAGACATTCCTGGCACTAAAATAACATTTCCTCTGTTCATTAGTCACGTCTCCATGCCCCTCTTACATTCTTTTGCTTTCCACTTTGAATTTTTATTCTCACAAAAAAATAGATTTACTGTTATGCAGACTACTGCATTGGTTTAGAAATGGTATAAATAATATCAGCGCACTTGTGAAAGAATATTAGACTCGCCAGTTGACGTGTATTGGACGCATAGCATGATTTGTTTACTTTTGAACTTCAGTAGAAATCGTACATTTCTGCTTCTTTGAGCTCAATTTCAAGGTACTCTTCTTTGTAAAACCAATCAAAATCATCTCAATTTCTGTAATATGTCTTCCATTCTATGAAATGAGACCAGGAAAACTAGAATACAACAATAAATACCATTACGAAAATACAGTGCAAAGTCGCTGTTTTAATCCAAAAACACGGTCAAATTTTTTTTTTCTCATTACGCACTGTGTGCTGCAGGATTTTTTTTATACCACGCACACTGACCACATAGACCCATTCTTTCATATGTAGGCCTACCAGCTTTCTCTCACTAGATTTGAGGGCGCTAGAATTTAGGCATACTACTACGTCAAAAACCCTGGCTCGTAAGCCGTACTAGTACGGCCGAAACCCTGAAAGGGTTAAACAGTCCAAACGTAGAACTACATCCACGTGTGGAGGGCTCCGAACGTAGATCTACATTTTTTTTTTTAAATGCTTTCAAATGGGAAAAATAAAGGTCGGAGCACCATGCAATGAACATAGATTTCCATTTGGACAGTTTAACCCTTTCAGGGTCCATCCCGTAGATCTACGGCTTTACGTTCAGGGTCCAAACCGTATATCTACGTCATGAGCTCAGCTCACTCTGATAAACTGTGAGTGGTAAATTTGGGCCTAGATATGAGAAAATACATCTATGTGGTATGTGTGCACCACATAAAACAAATCCTGCAGCACACTGTGTATAATGAGAGAAAAAAAACTGAGACCGTGATTTTCGATTAAAACAGCGACTTTGCAGTGTTTTTTCGTATGTTTTTTATAGTTGTATTTGTGATTTCTTGGTCTCATTTGATAGAATGGAAGACATATCACAGAAATAGAGATAATTTTGATTGGTGTTAGCACTGGAAATGGCTTGAAACTGAGCTCAAAGTGGCGGAAATGTAAATTTTTGCCGATGTTCAAGAGTAAACAAACGACCTCACACGTCTTATACACGCCAGCTGGTGGGTCTAATATACATTCACAAATGTGGTGATGATATTTATACAATTATTACAATATTGCATAACAGTAAATCTTCTATTTTTTGGTGTGAATAAAAATTCATTATGTGAATAAAAATTCAAAATGGAATTTATTTGTAAAGCCTCAAAACATAACTAATGAACAGAGGAAATGTTAGTTTAGTGCAGGAATACCTACATTGTTTATTCTGGACCCTATTTTGAAATTGGAATATTTTGAACTTTGTGTTAAATTGGCCAAATTACCAATTTCCGGTCACTTTATTTTGTAGTTGAAATGGTTGACTTGGCGATTTCTTGTGCTCAATCGATAGAATAGAAGTAATACTAGTGAAATAGCTAAGAATTTGTCGACTGGAATAATGTAATTGGCCTAAAATGGGAGTCAAAGTCGGCAAAATCGCCGATTCGTAAATATCGCTGACACACCAAAATTCACGAGAGCATAATTTCGTCAATTTTCCATCAAATTTCGTACTTTTTGTTTTATTACCTTCACAAAAAGATTCTCTACCATTTCATAAGAAAAAATAACAATTTTTTTTTTTTTTAAATTCTTGGACACTGGGGCACCACTTCAGATTTGGGCCTTGGACCCTGAAAGGGTTAAGGGTTAAAGAGTATCAGAAAACTCTTTTTAATCCATATCATATGAAGGAATATTTTAATTATGTAAAATATCAAAGAAATTTAGAATGTCTTTAGTAATCTGTGCTGTTGCCTTATCTCTAATGATAAATTAGCCCTTTGACTGTTTTGGTCGTATACATACGTCTCACAAGCCAATGTATATACAGTGGACCCCCGGTTAACGATATTTTTTCACTCCAGAAGTATGTTCAGGTGCCAGTACTGACCGAATTTATTCCCATAAGGAATATTGTGAAGTAGATTAGTCCATTTCAGACCCCCAAACATACACGTACAAACGCACTTACATAAATACACTTACATAATTGGTCGCATTCGGAGGTGATCGTTATGCGGGGGTCCACTGTATACTCAAAAATACGTATATACTAAAAAAATTCTAGCGGCTTCAAATTACGCAGGAGAAAGCTGGTAGACCCACATGTGAGAGAATGGGTCTGTGTGGTCAGTGTGCGCAGTATAAAAAAAAATCCTGCAGCAAGCAGTGCATAATGAGGAAAAAAAAACTCCAACGTTGTTTTGGGATTAAAACGCCAGCTTTCGGGTGTATTTTCGTATAGTTTTTATGGTTATATTCTCGTTTTTGTAGTCACATTTGATAGAATGGAAAACATATAGAAATGGAGGAGATTTTGATTGGTTTTACTATGAAAAGGACCTTGAAATGGAGCTCAAAGTAGGGGAAATGTTTGAGTTTTGCCGATGTTCAAGAGTAAACAAACGATGTCAGTGTCCAATAAATGTCCAACTAGCCATTCTAATATGCAGTCATGAATGGGCTGACATTATTTATACAATTACATATTACAATACTGCAGTAGTCTGCATAACAGTAAATTTTCTATTTTTTGTTTGAATAAAAATTCAAAATAGAAAGCAAGAGTAATATCAGAGGGGCCTGGAGATGTGACTAATGAACAAAGAAAATGTTATTTTAGAGCCCAGGAATGTCTGCATTGTTTGTTCTGGACCCTATTTTGAAACCGGCATTTTTTTTAATTTTCGTGAAATTGGCTAAATTGCCAATTTCTGACCACTTTACTGGGTAGTTGAAATCGGTAAATGGGCGGTTTCCTGTACTTAATCGATAGAACAAATGGAGTTCTAAAGAAATAGCTATGAGTTTGGTCAACTGGAACAATGGAATTAGCTGAAAATAGGGCTCAATGTGGGCGAAATCAGCGATTCGTAAATATTGCCGAGGTCACTAACTTCGCAAGAGCGTAATTCCATAAGTTTTCCATCAAATTTTGTACTTTTGGTGTCATTACCATCAGTTAAAGATTCTCTATCATTTCACAAGAAAAAAATAATTTTTTTTTTTTTTCAAATATTTTGCAACACCAGGAGACACCTCAGGATTTGGGGTTGCGACATTCAAAGGGTTAAGAAATCTATTATACAATACTAATAGAAATTCTAGGGATAAAATTTTAAAACAATGTGCCTGTATAATTTAATGTTATTGACTATAATGTGCAAACTAAAATGCTTAGAAACACTCTCAAAGTACACATTATATTATCTAAATGTGTTACTAAACAAGAGCAAAATCAAGAATTCCTGTGAAATAAAAGCAGCTGCACTTTTGCAATGTCTAAACCAAACCTTAATATGTGATGCCTCACTAAACTCCTCCCATAACAAACAGAATATCAAAACCCCATTTCAAGTACAGTACATAAACATAAAAAAAATACAGAAATATATATAAGTACAGTGGACCCCCGCATAACGATTACCTCCGAATGTGACCAATTATGTAAGTGTATTTATGTAAGTGCGTTTGTACGTGTATGTTTGGGGGTCTGAAATGGACTAATCTACTTCACAATATTTCTTATGGGAACAAATTCGGTCAGTACTGACACCTGAACATACTTCTGGAGTGAAAAAATATCGTTAACCGGGGGTCCACTGTAATAATGAAGAGAGTTGTATAAACACACTGAGACTAAACATACCCTTTGTGTTTCTGTGTGACAGGATCCCAAGACATATTTATTGACTTGATTGGACCAAACGGAACAAAGGCTTGGCGTATCGTGTCTTCTTTGAGCTCGAAACTGATGCTACCAACATATACACGGCACATGAGAACTAGGGCCTGGTGCCGTTGTAAAGATTTGGCTTGCTGAGGAAGAAAAAGAAAATTAGAGATATCATTTTCATATGAATGATAAAGGTACGTATAAAATCTAGCAAATAAATTAAAATTATATTTTAATTTTACCAAATAAAAAATACTGCAATTATAATACTGTATTGTATCTGACAAGTACAGTAACTCAAAAAAACTCCAAATGCAATTTAGTGATTATGTATGGCAACCTATTTTACTGTAGAAAATAAAATGGCTTGCAATATAGGCATACCTCTCAATGTTTACATCAGTTCCAAAATTTCAGAACTTTACAGAGGCAGTAACTAATGGGATACATATATTGAAACTCTCGGGTGTGAGGGATTAAGGGGAAACAAGGTTACTGAAGAAACTTGCTTATATAGCTGTTGATGAAACCAACTTTATGAAAAAAAATGTTGTGCTACACAATTATTAAAGGAACAATAAACATGACTTCTTGTAATAGAACAGCTCAGTATGTACTCTAAAAATCCTTTTTTCATCCTGTATAGAACAGAAAAAAAATTGTTACAATTTTTATTATATAAATACAGCACTTGCATGCATTTCTCTTGCTTTATGTAAATTTGCCATTGTAATATGCCCCATTTCTGTGTGTGCAATCTACATTTGCCATAAGCAATCAGTACATTCAGTGAAACAGAATTAACGAGTTTAGTATAACAAAGGGCACCTGTGTGAATATTTATTTTTTTTTCAACAAGTCGGCTGTCTCCCACCGAGGCAGGGTGACCCAAAAAGAAAGAAAATCCCCAAAAAGAAAATACTTTCATCATCATTCAACACTTTCACCTCACTCACACATAATCACTGTTTTTGCAGAGGTGCCCAGAATAAAACAGTTTAGAAGTATATACGTATAAAAATACACAATATCTCTCTCCAAACTGCCAATATCCCAAACCCCTCCTTTAGAGTGCAGGCACTGTACTTCCCATTTCCAGGACTCAAGTCTGGTAATCTAAAATAACCGGTTTCCCTAAATCCTTTCACTAAATATTACCCTGCTCACACTCCAACAGATCGTCAGGTCCCAAATACCATTTGTCTCCATTCACTCCTATCTAACACGCTCACGCACGCTTGCTGTAAGTCCAAACCCCTTGCCCACACCACCACCTTTACCCCCTCCCTCCAACCTTTTCTAGGGCAACCCCTACCCTGCCTTCCTTCCCCTACAGATTTATACGTTCTCCATGTCATGCGTATAAAAAATACACAATATATCTCTCCAAACTGCCAATATCCCAAACCCCTCCTTTAGATTGCAGGCATTGTACTTCCCATTTCCAGGACTCAAGTCTGGTTATATAAAATAACCGGTTTCCCTGAATCCCTCACTAAATATTACCCTGCTCACACTCCAACAGCTCGTCAGGTCCCAAATACCATTTGTTTCCATTCCCTCCTATCTAACACGCTCACGCACGCTTGCTGGAAGTCCAAACCCCTCGCCCACAACACCTTTACCCCCTCCCTCCAACCTTTTCGAGGACAACCCCTAATCCCTTTCCTTCCCCAACAGATTTAAACGCTCTCCATGTCATTCTACTTTGATCCATTCTCTCTAAATGGCCAAACCACCTCAACAAACCCTCTTCAGCCCTCTGACTAATACTTTTATTAACTCCACACCTTCTCCTAATTTCCACACTCCAAATTTTCTGCATATTTACACCACACATTGCCCTTAAACAGGACATCTCCACTGCCTCCAACTGCCTCCTCGCTGCAGCATTTACCACCCAAGCTTCACACCCATATAAGAGTGTTGGTACTACTATACTTTCATACATTCCCTTCTTTGCCTCCATAGATAACATTTTTTGCCTCCACATATACCTCAATGCACCACTCACCTTTTTTCCTTCATCAATTCTATGATTAACCTCATCCTTCATAAATCCATTCACTGACACATCAACTCCCTTTTAAATATCTGAAAACATTCACTTCTTCCATACTCCTCTTTCCCAATTTGATATCCAATTTTTCTTTATCTAAATCATTTGATACTCTTATCACCTTACTCTTTTCTATGTTCACTTTCAATTTTCTACCTTTACACACACTCCCAAATTCATTCACTAACCCTTGCAATTTTTCTTTAGAATCTCCCATAAGCACAGTATCATCAGCAAAAAGTAACTGTGTCACTTCCCATTTTGTATTAAATTCTCCATAATTTAATCCCACCCCTCTCCCGAACACCCTAGCATTTACTTCTCTTACAACCCCATCTATAAATATATTAAACAACCATGGTAACATTACACATCCCTGTCTAAGACCTACTTTTACTGGGAAGTATTCTCCCTCTCTTCTACACACCCTAACCTGAGCCTCACTATCCTCATAAAAACTGTATAAATAATTTTTTTTTTTTAACAAGCCGGCCGTCTCGCACCGAGGCAGGGTGACCCAAAAAGAAAGAAAATACTTTCATCATCATTCAACACTTTCACCTCACTCACACATAATCACTGTTTTTGCAAATGTGCTCAGAATACAACAGTTTAGAAGTATATACGTTTAAAGAGGACTCAAGTCCAGCTATATACAATAACCAGTTTCCCTGAATCCCTTAAGTAAATATTATCCTGCTCACACTCCAACAGCTCGTCAGGTCCCAAATACCATTCGTCTCCATTCACTCCTATCTAACACGCTCAGGCATGCTTGCTGGAAATCTAAGCCCCTCGCCCACACAACCTCCTTTACCCCCTCCCTCCAACCCTTTCGAGGACGACCCCTACCCCGCCTTCCTTCCCCTACAGATTTATACGCTCTCCATGTCATTCTACTTTGATCCATTCTCTCTAAATGACCAAACCACCTCAACAACCCATCTTCAGCCCTCTGACTAATACTTTTATTAACTCCACACCTTCTCCTAATTTCCACACTCCGAATTTTCTGCATAATATTTACACCACACATTGCCCTTAGACAGGACATCTCCACTGCCTCCAACCGCTGCCTCGTTGCAGCATTTACAACCCAAGCTTCACACCCATATAAGAGTGTTGGTACTACTATACTTTCATACATTCCCTTCTTTGCCTCCATAGATAACGTTCTTTGTCTCCACATATACTTCAACGCACCACTCACCTTTTTTCCCTCATCAATTTTATGATTAACCTCATCCTTCATAAATCCATCAGCTGATACGTCAACTCCCAAATATCTAAAAACATTCACTTCTTCCATACTCCTCTTCCCCAATTTGATATCCAATTTTTCTTTATCTAAATCATTTGATACCCTCATCACCTTACTTTTTTCTATGTTCACTTTCAACTTTCTACCTTTACACACACTCGCAAATTCGTCCACTAACCTCTGCAATTTTTCTTTAGAATCACCCATAAGCACAGTATCATCAGCAAAAAGTAACTCACTTCCCATTTTGATTCCCTATAATTTAATCCCACCCCTCTCCCAAATACCCTAGCATTTACTTCTTTTACAACCCCATCTATAAATATATTAAACCACCATGGCGACATTACACATCTCTGTCTAAGACCTACTTTTACCGGGAAGTAGTCTCCCTCTCTTCTACACACCCTAACCTGAGCCTCATTGTCCTCATAAAAACTCTTTACAGCATTTAGTAACTTACCACCTATTCCATATACTTGCAACATCTGCCACATTGCTTCCCTATCCACTCTATCATATGCCTTTTCTAAATCCATAAATGCAATAAAAACTTCCCTACCTTTATCTAGATACTGTTCACATATATGCTTCAATGTAAACACCTTATCTACACATCCCCTACCCACTTTAAAACCTCCTTGCTCATCCGCAATCCTACATTCTGTCTTACCTTTAATTCTTGCAAAAATAACCCTACCATACACTTTTCCTTGTATACTCAGTAAACTAATTCCTCTATAATTTTTACAATCTCTTTTGTCTCCCTTCCCTTTATATAAAGGGACTATACATGCTCTCCGCCAATCCCTAGGTACCTTCCCCTCTTTCATACATTTATTAAACAAAAATACCCACCACTCCAACACTATATCCCCCCTGCTTTTAACATTTCTGTCATGATCCCATTAGTTCCAGCTGCTTTACTCCCTTTCATTCTACGTAATGCCTCACGCACCTCCCCCACACTTACATCCTGCTCTTCTTCACTCCTAAAAGATGGTATACCTCCCTGTCCAGTGCATGAAATTACCACCTCCCTTTCTTCGTCGATATTTAAAAGTTCCTCAAAGTATTCTTGCCATCTACCCAATACCTCCATCTCCCCATCTACTAACTCTCCTACCCTGTTTGTAACTGACAAATCCATTTGTTCCATAGGCTTTCTTAACTTGTTTAACTCACTCCAAAATTTTTTCTTATTTTCATTAAAATTTCTTGACAGTGCCTCTCCCACTCTATCATCTGCTTTCCTTTTACATTCTCTCACCACTCTCTTCACCTTTCTTTTACTCTCCATATACTCAGCTCTACTTATAACACTTCTGCTTTGTAAAAACCTCTCATAAGCTACCTTTTTCTCTTTTATCACATCCTTTACTTCATCATTCCACTATTCACTCCCCTTTCCTCCTGCCCCCACCCTCCTATAACCACAAACTTCTGCCCCACATTCTAATACTGAATTTTTAAAACTATTCCAACCCCCCTTCAACCCCCCCCCCACTACTCATACTTGTACCAGCCCACTTTTCTGCCAATAGTTGCTTATATCTCGCCTGAACTGTGAAGAAATTGTGAGAAAGTCTTCTTAAAACTTGACACATTTCAAATCCCAATAGCCAAAAACATAGACTTATGGTATCTCACCTGTTGTTGGTGTGCTAAAGTTTGTTTCATGAGGACAAGACGTATGGACTGTTCCATAGCATATTTTTTGGCTCGAGCTACAGTATCCTTCTGGTCGGAGGAGAGGCGCGGGAGACTTTGTCCAAGTAGGTGAACCACATCATCCTTCTTGGCTCCAGCACCTGAGAACATACAAAACCCACTAACATCTTACCCTTCCTGAAGTGGATCAACAAATGTATGGTTACAGGTTTTTCTGCTAAGATAATAAGTAAATGCCATTCAATAAAAAATATTGCTATCATCACTAACTCTTATTTTCATAGTGAGGTAGCAGATGCTCAAGACAAGACAGAGAAGTAATAGAAAAAAAACTGAGTTTTAACATTTAATGAAAGCCACATCTCTCCTTTTACATGAATTTCATGACAGCAAAATGTGTCAATAAAAGTTTGTGTTGCCAATTGTTTTTGTGGTTATACAACTTTTTCACTCTGGGCAGCAACAGATTGATTTCCCAGATCCTCTTCAGTCAATATTGAAAATAAGGCTCCTTCCTTATATGAGTCGTGAAGTTATTTGGATAGACAGATGTAAGAGTGGTTATATTAAATTTTTTTTTTTTTCAACAAGTCGGCAGTACTGCTCCTACCGAGGCAGGGCGACCCAAAGAGAAAGAAAATCCTCAAAAAAGAAAATACTTTCATCATTCAACACTTTCCCTCACTCATACATAATCACTATTTTTGCAGAGGCACCCAGAAACAACAGTTTAGAAGCATATATAAAGATATATAACATATCCCTCCAAACTGCCAATATCCCAAACCCCTCCTTTAAAGTACAGGCATTTTGCTTCCCATTTCTAGTACTCAAGTCCAGCTATATAAAAATAACCAGTTTCCCTGAATCCCTTCACTAAATATTACCTGCTTACACACTAACAGCTCGTCAGGTCCTAAAAACCATTTGTCTCCATTATGCAAATTACAATGTCACAATCCCAAACAGAATTATCGTACAACATATCATTGGGATATTATTCTAGTTATGGAAAGCACTAAACCAGTGCGAGTCATTTAGCACATGGCAAGGGTGAGGAGGGGGAGGGGAACTGTTGGGATCAAGAGGTAGGCTGTGTCAAGGAAATATTAATGGCAAAAAGTAAGGGGGTAGGGTGTCATGGACAAAAAAGGGGATAGGATGTCGTGGACAAAAACGAAGGGGGGTAGGATGTCAAGGACAGTGTAGCAAATCAGTGCCAGTTAAGATCATGTTTAATTCATTTTTAGTGCTAAATACAAGTGGGTCATCCAGTGCAAGACATGATGGGCATCTGATTCTCAGTCTGCTGTGTACAAGACAGATGCACTTCCTATTTGTACCCGCCTATTCATGCTAATTAAGAAGAGAATGAGCACTAAAAACAGAACCATCAGAGAAGATCAGTAGAGTAACATGAACGAGGCATCTACAAATGTTATATAAAGATTGCCTGTGATTATCTACATTTATCTGTTATCTACAAATATTTAATGAAATCCTCTAATTCTCTGAAAATACATACATCTATAATAATTACTACTGCAAAGTTATTTAACCTGTTGTGAATGCAACTTACTCCATTAGCAAAACATGAATGGAAGATGCAAGATGGCTGATGAGGACAGATGCGAGGTGTAGGAAAGTAGAGCAGGCCAAGAGACATTCAGTAGCTAATTTATGGAAAGATTTATGAATAAGGACAATTACAAGAGTTAAAAGCAATGAATATACCTACACAAAGTATTACATGAGTGGTTTCTCAATCTTTTAATCCCTACTCCGTTAAGACTTTGCATAGGTATAACGGAGAAGAGTGACATATACAACATTTATCGTTGTTTTTCAACTGATTAATAGATATACTGTACCAATAAATAACTAGCAATGAAATGCAATTTACTTACCCAAGACAAGGGTGCCAGACTGATCGACCTCTCGTACAGGAGAACGTGCACGAGCCGCCCCCTCTGTCAAATTAAGGCCAAGAATTAATGGTACGTCTGACACACGACACAACACCGACATGTAGCCTGAGAGATGGTTTTGCTTATTGCTGCTCTATGTATGCAACCAGATTCAGAGTTCATCAAACTCTTGTCAGCTGTCTGGCAAATGTGTGATAGTCATACCTCTCAACATCATAAGGACATATAATGAACAGTCTGCTATATGATACCCTATTATCATAAACCTATTGCATCACCCTTCAGAAAAATCAAGAAAATTGTAAGCTCTGTATTCTTAAGTCCAATGAAATCTGTCCATAGTTTCAAAGAATCTAAAGTTACATATAGTATTCCTAAACCAGTTATTGTCCTGGCAGACATTAAAATAAGTATTGTATTATGACAAATAAATCCGTCATTGAAAGCTAACTACATCAAAAACCCTTTAAATGAACACAGCCAATCCAGGTACACAAAGATGTCTTCATATTACACATATCAGTACTGTAACTAATATCTAATACAAATATATACTGCATATCATGATATATACACTATATACTGTATAACATATACTGTGAAGTATAGTGTGTGTGTGTGGTGTGTGTGTGTGTGTGTGTGTGTGTGTGTGTGTGTGTGTGTGAGAGAGAGAGAGAGAGAGAGAGAGAGAGAGAGAGAGAGAGAGAGAGAGAGAGAGAGAAAGAGAGAAGAGAAAGAGAGAAGAGAGAAAGAGAGAAGAGAGAAAAGAGAGAGAGAGAAAGAGAGAGAAGAGAGAAAGAGAAAGAGAGAGAGAAAGAGAGAGAGAGAGAAAGAGAGAGAGAGAGAGAAAGAGGAGAAAGAGAAGAGAGAAAGAGAAGAGAGAAAGAAGGAAGGAGAGAAGAAGAGAGAGAAAGAGAGAGAAAGAGAAAGAGAGAGAGAGAGAGAAGAGAGGAGAAGAGAGAGAGAGAGAAAGAGAGAGAGAGAGAGAGAAGAGAGAGAAAGAGAGAGAAGAGAGAGAAAGAGAGAAAGAAGAGAAAGAGAGAAAGAGAAGAGAGAAAGAGAGAGAGAGATGAGAGAAGAGAGAGAGAGAAGAGAGAAAGAGAGAGAGAGAGAAAGAGGAGGAGGAGAGAAAGGAGAAAGAGAGAAAGAGAGAGGAGAAAAGAGAGAAAGAGAGAAAGAGAGAAAGGAGAGAGAAGAGAGAAAGAGGAAGAAAGAGAGAGAAAGAGAAAAGAGAGAAAGAGAGAAAGAGAAAAGAGAAGAAGAAGGAAAGGAAAGAGAGAAGAGGGGAAAAGAGAGAAAGAGAGAGAGAGAAAGAGAGAGAAAGAGAGAAAAAGAGAAAGAGAGAAAGAGAAAGAAGAGAAAGAAGAGAGAGAAAAAGAGAAAGAGAGAAAGAGAAAGAGAGAGAAATAGAAAGAGAGAAAGATACACAAATAACCCGCACATAAAAGAGAGAAGCTTACGACGACGTTTCGGTCCGACTTGGACCATTGACAAAGTCACACTAACCAGAGGTGGAGCAGGACGGCTATATATAGGCAGGAAGAGGTGGTGGTAGTAGTAGTAGTACAAGAGTTGTATATAATACCGACAAGATGAAATTAAGACACATGCACAACACCCGGGCATCCCCATCATAGACGTTTTGCCATCCAGCCAGCCACTGGATGGCGAAACGTCCACAACAAAGACAACCAGACGCCACACATGTGTCTCAATTTCATCAGTAGTTGTAGTAGTAGTAGTAGAAGAAGAGGTAGTAGTAGTGGTAGTGGTAGAAGTGGGAAATAAAAAGGACGAGCCAGTCAAATACAAAGGAAGGGGAGCACTGCAAGAGAGCTAGATCCCCACAGAGGGACAGCAAGCGCACAGAGGTGCGTGAAAGGGAAGTGGTGAAATAAATGAAGAAGGAACAGAAACACGAGACAGGAGAGAGAAAGACAACCCAGAGGAGAAAAGGAAAGAGGAAAGGGGAAGAGGAAGAAGAAGAAAAAGAAAAAGAAAAAATGAGGATTCAGGTTAAGTCACGATTCAGGTTAAGTCACGGGTGTTCTGAAGTTTGGAGCATTTTACAATGTAGTGGGAGAGGAAGGCATCTACAGAGACGAAGCCAGGGCTAAGGTTCATACAAGGAAAGTTGTGTATTAGAGAGGATTCAACTAGACGGCGACTGTTCGAGTTGGAAGTAGGGAAGACAGTTTTAGCAGAAGACCAGTCAATAGGTTGGCTATGATCTCTGACGTGACAGAAAAGAGCATTGTTAGTGTCGGCAAGCCTAACACTATTTTTGTGCTCCCTAAGTCTGTCAGAAAGAGACCGACCAGTTTCTCCGAAGTATTGAAGAGGACAGGAGGAGCAAGAAATAGAGTAGACACCAGGAACATCTGTAGATTCACTACTTTTCCTATCATGCTTCCCTGTCAAGAAAAGTGTTCTTATCTCCCTCTTTCTCCGTGCCCTCCGCATCAGTGATCCTCAGTTCCTTCCAGCAGAAATTTCCACTCTTCATAATTCGTTCTCCCATCTTGGCTACCCTTCCCATTTCATAGACTCTGCCCTCTCACGTGCTAAACGCAATTTCTTCTCTCCTAAACTCTCTACTCACGAGAACTCTTCTATCCTCTGCCTTCCCTACATTTCCGGTCTTTCTAATCTCAACAATTCTCTCCGTCCCTTAGACATCAAGCTTACCTTCCGCCAGACTAACACTCTTCGCACTAATCTCGTTCATACCTCTCCTCCCTCTACAGATGTTCCTGGTGTCTACTCTATTTCTTGCTCCTCCTGTCCTCTTCAATACTTCGGAGAAACTGGTCTATCTCTTTCTGACAGACTTAGGGAGCACAAAAATAGTGTTAGGCTTGCCGACACTAACAATGCTCTTTTTTGTCACGTCAGATATAGCCATCTATTGACTGGTCTTCTGCTAAAACTGTCTTCCCTACTTCCAACTCGAACAGTCGCCGTCTAGTTGAATCCTCTCTAATACACAACTTTCCTTATATGAACCTTAGCCCTGGCTTCGTCTCTGTAGATGCCTTCCTCTCCCACTACATTGTAAAATGCTCCAAACTTCAGAACACCCGTGACTTAACCTGAATCCTCATTTTTTCTTTTTCTTTCTCTTCCCCTTTCCTCTTTCCTTTTCTCCTCTGGGTTGTCTTTCTCTCTCCTGTCTCGTGTTTCTGTTCCTTCTTCATTTATTTCACCACTTCCCTTTCACGCACCTCTGTGCGCTTGCTCTCCCTCTGTGGGCATCTAGCTCTCTTGCAGTGCTCCCCTTCCTTTGTATTTGACTGGCTCGTCCTTTTTATTTCCCACTTCTACCACTACCACTACTACTACCTCTTCTTCTACTACTACAACTACTGATGAAATTGAGACACATGTGCGGCGTCTGGTTGTCTTTGCTGTGGACGTTTCGCCATCCAGTGGCTGGCTGGATGGCGAAACGTCTATGATGGGGATGCCCGGGTGTTGTGCATGTGTCTTAATTTCATCTTGTCGGTATTATATACAACTCTTGTCTACTACTACTACTACTACTACTACCACCACCTCTTCCTGCCTACATATAGCCGTCCTGCTCCACCTCTGGTTAGTGTGACTTTGTCAATGGTCCAAGTCGGACCGAAACGTCGTCGTAAGCTTCTCTCTTTTATGTGCGGGTTATTTGTGTATCTTCCAGTCACGGTATTGTGCCTTTTTTGTTAATTAGAGAGAAAGAGAAAGAGAGAAAGAGTGAAAGAGAGAAAGAGAAAGGGAAAAGAGAGAAGAGAGAGAAAGAGAGAGAGAAGAGAGAGAAAGAGAGAGAGAGAGAGAGAGGAGAGAGAGAAGGAGAGAGTGAGAAGAGAGAAGAGAGAGAGAGAAGAGAGAAGAGGGGGAGAAAGAGAGAGAAGAGAGAGAGAGAAGAGAGAGAGAGAGAGGAGAGAAAGAGGAAAGAGAAAGAGAAGAAGAGAGAAGAGAGAGAGAGAAGAGAGAGAAGGAGAAGAAAGAGAGAGAAAGAGAGAGAAAGAAAGAAAGAGAGAGAAAGAGAGAGAAAGAGAGAGAAAAGAGAGAGAAAGAGAGAAAGAGAGAGAGAAGAGAGAGAGAAAGAGAGAGAAAGAGAGAGAGAAAGAGAAGAAAGAGAGAGAAAGAGAGAGAAGAAGAAGAAGAGAGAGAGAGAGAAGAGAGAGAAGAAAGAGAGAAAGAAGAGGAAGAGAGAGAGAGAGAGAGAGAAGAGAGAGAAAGAGGAGAGAAAGAGAGAAGAAGGAAAGAGAAAGAAAGAAGAGAAAGAAAGAAAGAAAGAGAGAAAGAGAGAAAGAGAGAGAGAGAGAGAGAGAGAGAGAAAGAGAGAAAGACAGACAAGGTTATATGCCTGATGAACTTATTCCACCTCTACATCGACAGGATGGGACCACCTCTACTAGTAGTCAAAAGAAGGCAGACCTCTTTGCTGAACACTTTGCTACCAAAATGCAAGTTCCTGATCCAGCAAGGGACCCTCCTTGGCTAGCTGCAAGAACTGTGTCAAAACTGTCAGTGGTGACAATAAGGCAGGAGGAGGTGCATTTCCTACTTAAATTGCTTGACCAAGAAAAGGCTGTGGGCCCAGACAAGTTGAGCCCAAGATTGTTGGGAGGAAGGATGTGCAGACCAGCTTGCAGCACCTCTAACTCGCATCTTTCAGCCACTGCCTAGTTCAGTGTAGCTAAGGGCCCTCTCTATGGACAAAGAGGACAAATGTAGCCCTGTCACAAAAAGAAGAGCAGAGCAGAAATCAGCAACTACAGACCAGTTGTACACTCATGTCAATCACTGGGTAAAGATACTTGAGCAATAATCTCAAGACAATGACAGAGTTTTTTTGACTCACATCACTACTTTGTGATCGTCATATGGCTTCAGGAAAGCTGCAGGGCCTCTTAGCTAAACTTCAAGCACTGGGAATTGCAGGCTCTACCACTATGTCTCTCCAGTGATTACCTTCATGGTAGATCTCTAAGTGTAGTTCTCAATGGAACGGAATCAGCAAGACATCCTATTGGGGACAATGTGTTCCACAA